AAATATAAAGTATGAGAAGAAAGGAAAGAGGAGTGACAAAATAGTGAGATTCGGTATAGCGTTGTTAAGATGAGGATAATGTGTGTATACATCTGCGCCACTGACTTCGGTTCTGAGCCATATCACCTAGGGTCTCCAACCACTGGTTCCTCTTGTCCCGTGGACCCCAACCACCTAGTCTGCATCGTCCTACATGGCTTAAACCAACAGTCAGAGACTTCATACATTGGTGCCATGTTTTAGTCTGGCCACCTCGGGCCTTTTTCCAGCCTGAACCCACCTCAGCCAACATTGTGTGACGAGGCAATCGGTGACTAGGCATACGTAGTACGTGTCCCAACCATCTCAGTCGATGAAGGTTCACAACCTCGTCGACTGACTTACCTCTTCTCCCTAAAACTCTACACCTAACTTCTGCATTACTCACATGGTGACACCACGGAATACGTCCTATACTACGAAGGCAACGGTGGTCAAATACCTGTAACCTTCTCATGTCTTCCACTTTCAATGGCCATGTTTCACAGCCATACAGTAGAACAGAGCGGACTGCTGTGCAGTACACGCGACCCTTAATAGACAAACGAATATCACGGCGGCGCCATAGGTGGCGCAAATTGGCAAAAGCCAATCGAGCCTTTTGTATCCGTGCAGAAATCTCATCGGCAACTAACCCACCGGGTTGATCCTACTTCCCAGGTAAGTGAAGTGGTCAACACACTCAACCACTTCACTCTCTATTGTTAACCGCGGTACCGCTGAAGACCAGTCCTGGAGCAAAAATTTGCATTTGGGTGGTGAAAATCGCATCCCAAACATTCTCAAATTCCCACTCAAAGTGTTCAGAAGACTCTGCATCTTGTCAGCGTCTTCACCTAACAGGACTATGTCATCTGCATATTCTAGATCTAAGGAAAATTCACCTGTGATCCGGTCAACGTCTTTGTAATTAGGTGACGAGAGGGAAACCTCCATAAGAATATCTATGATAAAATTAAATAAGAATGGGGATAGTGGGCATCCTTGACGGACACCACTTGATGAGTATAGCTCCCTGGACAACTCACCATAGGCTCTAACATGCCCACAAGTGTTCGAGTAGAGAGCTTTCAATAAGGTGATGTACTTACTAGGCACGCCTTTCAGTGACAGACACTGCCATAAGACTTCTCGATCAACGGAGTCAAATGCCGCCTTCAGGTCGAGAAATACAGCTATTGTCGGGCGTCTGTAAGCATGCCTATGTTCCAGGACCTGGCGCAGTGTGAATATTTGGTCGATACATCCACGGCCAGGTCTAAAGCCTGCCTGGTTTTCTCGGGCTTGCTGTTCCCGAGCTCCACTCAGGCGTCGGAGAATTATAGAACTTAGGATCTTAGACACTATGTTTGTCAGGCTGATTCCTCTGTGGTTATCACAAGAGGACTTCTCGCCTTTCTTGAAGACTGGGATGATCAGTGACTTAGACCAGTCGGAGGGGATCGTATTTGATTCCCATATACTGGCTAACACTTCCGTTAGCCTGACTAAGAGAACTCTACCACCATTCTTGTATACCTCAGCAGGTAGTCCGTCTGGTCCTGCTGCCCTTCCCCGTTTCAGGCTACCTACCGCTTTCTCAACTTCTTCTAGTGTTGGGGGACCTGTCTCTATGTCCCATTCAGGGTCCGACTGGATAGCGGGCAGCGCAATGGTGGCTGGAGGCCAGTTAAACTGTTCCTCAAAGTGTTCTGCCCATCGTCCCAGTCGCCTTCCCTGCGAGTGAATCGCCGATCCGTCCTTCTCCGCTATAACCTCACTAACTGTTGTTGACCATTTCCCCCCAGTCTCCTTAATAAGTCTAAATAACTGTCTACTGTTACCGATCGCCGCTGCCTTTTCCATCTCTTTAGCCTTTGCTGCCCACCACTGTTCACGATCGTTGCGCAGACTTTTCGTCAGTTTATTTTTAAGTTGCGCTCGCTCTTCATTGTACTCAGAGCCTGCAGGGATGCATTCACGTGCATCCATTAGTTTGGAAGAAGCTGCTGATATCCACTGGCTCTTTTTAGCCATTATCTTGGAGTCGGCTACAGTCTCCAGTGCTGCTTTTACAGTAGACTGAAGATGGCACCAAGCTTCTTCTGGATGAGTGACAGTCTTTTGTTCCGATAACTGCCTAGCCAACTTCTCACTGAACACGGCTTTGGTGTTTTCGTTGTCCAGCAGAACTCGTAGTGGTTTTGTTGCCAAATTTTTTCTACGTCCATTGAGACGCAGGCATATACGTGCTCGGACCAACGCATGATCGCTGTCCAAACACGTACTCCAGAAGGAGCGGCAGTCTTCCACCGATCCTCTCCAGCGATGACTAATAGCAATGTGGTCTATCTGTGTCCATCGCTGAGTCGAGCTCGGTGGACGCCAGGTCAGACAGTGCCTTTCTTTATGTCTGAAATTTGTGCTGGCTAAAAATAGGCGGTTATCTGAGCATAGTTGTAATAGGCGATCACCGTTATCTGTACGTTCAGCTGGGATTCCGAAAGTGCCACCTAAGTGCCTTTCTGCCTCACTCAGTCTACCCACCTGTGCGTTGAGGTCACCTGCAACAACCACTACGTCCGAACGTTTGGCTTTCGAGAGGAGGTTAGACAGTTTATGGTAGAACTCGTCCTTCACTTCATCCGAACTACAGTCAGTGGGTGCGTAAGCAGAGATTACAAAGAGACAACGGCGAGTCTCACTATTCCTTTTAGTTCTCACTGTGCCGTTCAGCCTCATAGCGCAGAGGCGACTATCAACTGGGATCCAGTCTAGTAGTGAGTTTTCTGCCCTGGTGCTTAATGCTATACCTACACCTGCAAGACCACGAGAGCTAGCTATCGAATCTCCAGAAACTCGAAGGGTGAATTTTGCAGATTCACCAGATTGGTCAGGAGAGGTCAGGTGAATAACCACACTTGGGTCCTGTATGCGTGTCTCACAAACACAGCACACATCCATGCCTCGAGTTGCTAGAGTCTTTGCCAACGAAGCCTGTTGGCCAATTTGACGGAGGGTGCGGACATTGAAGGCTCCAATATGTAATTTGGAGCGTGGTTTAAGGAGACCAGGGACACTGTTCTGTGGACTCAGATCGTTGTCGAAGGCTGCAGAGGTAGGAGAAATTGAAGATGATGCAGCATCATTAATTAAGAGACGTGAAGGAAGATTAGAAGGTAATGATGGAGGAGGAGGATAGCAGTCAGAAGAAACTTGGGTGCTGACAGAGTTGTGAGGGCGGTTGACACTTCCCGGCTGCCCACACCGTGGAAGGCTATTTCTTCTTAAGGTACCTGAAAGAGATTTGTGTGACCGCAGAGCCCATCGGACATCTGCTTGAGGCCTGTCACACCCAGCCTTTTGAGTATGATTATTTTGAATTTTTGTATTTTTGGGGCCGGATGAGCGAAAGGAAACGACAAGTGAACCAACACCGCCGGCCCGGCAGACCGTGGGGCGTGGTGGAGTGTGTTATTTTTGGGGCCGACCTTTTCTAACCCCCCCTTCCACTGAGAAGGCAGCATCAGCTTGGCACTGCTGGTCATCCAAGGGAAACACCTTACTGCTGTCACACCCCATCCAGCTAGCAGCAGTACGACTTCGCCCTCAGACCCCCATCATAGTATAGCAATTTACACTATGACGGTAACTGCTTTTCGTCTAACCACTACCCAACAGACCTTTCTGGTATGTTTGTTCAATCAAACAGCATACAGACAGCTGTCAACTGGTCGAGAAGCCCACTTCTACTTGAGAATATAAAACGTTACTTAAACTGGTTATCCCATGAGAGCTGGGAGTATTGGGTCTCCGGATACTTGCAAGGTGAATTTCGAAGATTCGCTCCACTTGTCAGGTGGTATCAAGTTAATTACCACACTGGGGTTCAATGTACTTGTCTCACAGACACAGCTGACATTTATGGATAGAGATTTCAGAGTTTTAACAACAAATGCCCACTGTCCATTTGGCAGAGAGTTAGGACGTTGAAATTTCCTATATGAAATCGATGGCTGACTCTTAGGAGACCAGGAATGAGGTCTCGATGGTATTGATTTTTGGTAGCGGTTGGACACCGATCGACTGGGTAAGGCATAAGAGGTTTAAAATCAGTATCAGATGAAGGAGGAGACAAAGTTGAGGAGGATAGGTTATGTTTTGTTGGGTCTTGTATACCACCGAAAGCGTACGGGTGGATGACACTTCCAGGCCCTCCGCACCGTGGAAGGCTATTTCTTCTTAACTTAGCTTAAAGAGGAAAAGATTTATGGGACATCTGCTGAAGACCTGTCACATAGTCTTCTCACGATTGTTGGCGTGAGATTTCACTGTGCTAGCACCAGACAGAGAAAACCCACACAGCCGGTACCACAAGACCGTGTACTATTTTTGACGTCAACCATTCCTAACCCCCCCCCCCCATGTTTCTCATAGAAGAGGCAGTATCCGCGTAGCACTGATGGTCATCCAAGGGAAACACCTTACTGTTGTCACACCTTAGCTAGGTAGCAGTACCAGTTCTCCCTCAGACACCCACTATCATAGTGTAGCCATTTACGCTACAACGGTGACTACTTTTCATCTTACCACTATCCAATGGATCTTTCTGGCGTAGTGAGACCTTAAGAAAACAAGAGTTCCACCCAGCGTAGCTCATTGGGTCATTGTGATATACAAGCCCGACCCACCACATCTAACTAGCGGCTATCGGTCGACTATCAAAGCAAAAGACACTGAATTCAAAATGTCATCCACTAAATATTACTGTCCATTTATGCATAATTGCACCTGACAGACAGAATATCGTTGAATTATCCTCTTCTGCAAAACTTATTCCATTAAATTTCAGTTTCCATTCATCTAGGAAGTTGGTATACGCGTGTCTATTCAATAAATTTCAGAAAACACTAGAAAACCCATCCTTCCACCCACCCCTACACTCCCAAACAACCTAAAATAGACAGAAGACAATTGGATTTCGAACAAATACCAATATTATAATCTTGGCAAATCAAAATAAATCCTGCTGATTAACAAAGAAATCTCATATAGAAAAGTATTTTCTTCGATGAGACATCATCGACATTAAATAATCATCACGTGTACATATTACGGTGATATAATAAATTTTATGAAAATATATATAAAATGTATGCTGTTGCTAAGTATAAAAATTATTGATAAGAGAAAAGATGTCACCCCACCACCACCACCTTGTTTATATAAACGAAATCATAAGAAGAAAACACAACTGAGTCCAGATAATAAAGGTCATCATTGACCTGGCTAAAGCTTATCAACAAAATTTACTCTGTGTGTGTGTGTGTGTGTAAAAAGTAAAGTATATCACATACTGCTAATACCTTCAGAAGAAAGAATCCCTCCTCTTCTTCTTAGCAAGGATCAAATTGTATGATCAACTTCATTCATATCATTAAGTAGCAATAAAGTGAGTTATTATTATTATTATTATTATTAGTAGTAGTAGTAGTAGTAGTAGTAGTAGTAGTAGTAGTAGTAGTAGTAGTAGTAGTAGTAGTAGCCAGAGTGTTGTATAGAATTAAAAGCCAGTTGTATGCAATGATCCAGGCATTGTAGGAATTGGTTTGATAAATTGTTTAGACGATGAAGATGAGAAAAATGATCGCATAACTATTACTTGTCCAATACCAAAGAGAATAATAATTATAGCTTGACCTAATGACCAATATAATACACGCTTATTAAGAGAAACAGCATAAGAATAAGATCGTGTTAAAAGTACACGATTTTCAAATAGTTGAGTTACTGCATTATATATTGTTGAGTGTATGTTATTCAAACTTATTGATATCTATAGATAAGAGAAATTAAAAAAATTTTGATTTAGGGATATTAGAAAAAAAAAAGTTAAATATCTATTTCAAGTTGTTATTCATCATAGACTGATATCAGTTGGAGGAACAAAGGAAGCCTGTGGGAATCCTCAGCAGTGCGCACCCACCACCTCCGCACCGCCAGGGATCGAACCCGCGACTTTCAGGTTCCATGGCCAGCGCGTTACCATTGAGCTAGTTAGCGACTGGGTCAGCGTAATCCAATGCTCCATATTTTCAACTTCTGTTACCTCACGATATAGCGCAACCGCAAAGATGACATTGGATGGGCTGACAGAAGTTGGAAATATGGAGCATTGGATTACGCTGACCCAGTTGCTAGCTAGCTCAATGGTAACGTGCTGGCTAAGGAACCTGAAAGTCGCGGGTTCGACCCCTGGCGGTGCGGAGGTGGTGGGTGCGCACTGCTGAGGATTCCCCGTACTAGGACGAAACACCTGTTGTCCAGTGCTCCCAGGCTTCCTTTGTTCTTCCAACTGATATCAGTCTACGATGAATAACAACTTGAAATATTTCCAAACCCCCCACAACTCCCTGAAAATAAAATATTTATCACAAAAATTGGAAAGAAATTAAGCTTAATTCTGAAAGTCATTTTACTGATGGCTAAATTATTGACATTATTGTATTGCTCGATTTAAGAGATTTCGGTCAAATCCTCATTCATATTGCATTACAAGTTAATCAGTTCACGTTGCCACACATTACAGTAATATACACAGAACAGGTGGATAGAAAAGAAGAGGATAAAAGTTAGTGCGAATATTCGTCTCTGGAACTCTAACAAGGAAGTTAACATCGTTCCACACGACTCAGACCAACAGTCAGAGACTTCATTGACCTGTACAAAATCTCGTCACCCTGAACACTCATACAACCTAATCTAACTTTCTATAATAGTAGTGATGGGTTATGGCTAGCAGTGGAATTTAGGATGCGCATTTCGTCCTATTTGGGACTCGTCAGCTGGATATACCTGCCTCCCAGTGAGTGATGTTCTTCCCACGGGTATTCGGACTCGGGAGCGGTAGCTTCAAACGCGAGAGCGCTATCCACTACACCACCGAGCTATGATAGCCACTTCTTGTGCAACAGGTTTGGTTTTTAGTGTTATTGCTTGTATTATACCGTCGTTAATTGGACCGAATAAATCGATCTTCATTGGCGTATAGGCTGCTGCACGGATGCCTCTATATTGCCTATATTCTTAATTATATAGTAATGATGGATAAGGGCTAGCAGTTGAATCCAGGATGCGCATTAACACTACAACTATACCCGTCGCACAAGAAGTGGCTATCGTGGCTCGGTGGTGTAGTGAATAACGCTCTGGCGTTTGAAGCGATCGACCCCCGGTGGGAACGACACCACTCGGCACTGGGAGGCAGATACACCCAGCTGACGAGTCCCGAATAGAAAGAAATACGCATCCTGGATTCCACTGCTAACCACTATGCATCATTACTATATAATCAACAACATAGGCAATATCTAGGCATCCTCGCAGGAGCCCATATGCCAATGGAGACCGATCATTTCGGTTCAATCAACGATGGTATAATACAAGCAATAACACCAATCTAATTTCCCTTAATATGGTACGTTGAGGTAGGTGGTGGCTCGGCATCCGAGACACATGTCTAAGCTACTTTAGCTGATGAAGATTGACAACTTCACCGATCGACTTGCTTGTCTTGCCCTGAACTTAACACTGCTCATACAGTGCTTGATATTGATTGGCTATTTCATTTCTATAAATTATGATGCATTGTGGTCAAGCACTTCAGTTGTTGTACATACAAATGAGTTAAGTTGCCAGAAATATATACGAACTATATGTTTTGTCGCAGGGGAGGACAGAACCACGTGACTCATCATATAGGTGAGCTGGCTATACGAACCTGAGGAAGTGTGTTCGAGACCAATAACTACAACCACATAAGGTTATAACAATAAGTCACGGAATTTTCGATAACACGAAATGATAACAACAATAAAAGTATAAAAAAGAGTGAATATTTTGTATACAGCAAAACAGCTATTTTTGAAGGCCTTAACAGAAACAATCCAATTTGCTCTACAAGATAAGTACTAACAGCGACGAACAACAACATGAATTCTTTGCTTGATAGTTGCACCTTCGTAGGATAACTTTTACGTGAGAGATGGCAAGCTAATGCAAATACGTGAATCATGACCCAAATACTTTAGACAAAGTACTACACTCTGGCTTATAGTTTATACCAGTCAAGTAATCAATATCCACCATAGGATATGGGATTACTGATTGACGAATCTAGTTGCTATGCCTCACATTTATACATCATAATGTAACATAACAAGATGGAAGATAGAAAACTCGGGAGAAATGTAATCAAAAAAGTTGAAGAAACTCATTAGATAAGAAGAAATATCAAGGGAAACAACGAAGTAATGATATGATGATTATAATGATGAGAACATGATTCTGAGTCATAAAACCAACAGTTTCTGACGATATATTAGGCCTATGATGTAGGGCTGAACGAGTGAACCTAGCAATCAAAAACTTCAGGGATTGATATCACCTTTAACATTCTTCTAACATACTACTTTTTTAGACGAAGTAGATGATGACGGTTCTAGTGTAATGGTATAAGATATTCTTTTTGAATTCATGACTGTTGAAGCAGTTCTGTCAGATGTAATCAGGTGTCAAGGGCATTGACTATATATATAACTTCATTAAAAAAGTCACGTATAATCCTACAGCATTATGTGTGACTATCCATGATAGAAAGACAAGAAACCTGAAGGTCCTCAGTTTGATCTTCAGCGGGGTGGTCATGCTTGTGTACTGCTGAAGAATCCCATACTAGGACGAAATAGCTGTTTAGTGCTTTCAGGTTTTCAATGGTCCCCCAAATGACATCAATCCATGATGAATACTACCTTAGAATAACTCCTTAGCAAAAGATACAAGCGAATATCGGACCACAAGTTTATGAAAATTAACTTGTTCTACATACATCTACCAGACTACTATGATGTACAAAACCATGGACAAATATTTCACTTCTACCTGACTTCAGCGTTCCATAGGACTTCAAACAATCAGAAATACTGTAGACTTTATATTTATGTTGGTGACTAGCAAAAGAATTCAGGACTTGTCAGCCGGATGTACTTGCCCTTCAATGAGTAATGTTGTTCCCACTGATACACGAAACCGGTGCCCACTCATTTAAACGATAAAACATTATTCGCTAAGCCATTGCAAACTTTGTTCCTCCAAAATGTTAGTTCTGTAAAAATTAGTACTAATCCTCACTTTTCTTATTCTGAACACTACCAATCACTAAATATGTTCTATTTGACTACCTTGATAACTTGTGTTCAATAGTCTCTCTTTTCACTGACTTACAAAGATTGTTACAATACAATAATGAAACCACTCACCGTTGTATCAAGAGATGGAGCACCAACATGTGTCCATTGACTGTTATCGGAACCATTAATCCACATCAATGATACAACTTTGTGAGTGACAGTAGAAAATGAATTACTGAAACACACCTGTAGACATCATGATACAGTAATAAATCAGTAAAAGAATTACGACGTCATTAGAATATACATATATACAAAGGTTACATTAAACTTTACAAATTCAATGCAAAATATAACTGTGATGTAAGCAAGAAGAATGTTAACCTCCTGAATATAACAATTTAATGATCAAAAAAGAAGTGGTGGAATGTGTTGACCAGTTCACTTACGTGGGAATTCGCATCAACCTGGAGAGACTGACGGGTTGCTGACGAAATCTCGGCTTGGATACAAAGAGTCAGTTTGGCATTTACCAACTTGCATCATCTGTGGTGCCAACTGGCGATATATCTGACTACATATTAAAGTGGCTCAATGGTAACGTGCTGGTCACGGAACCTGAAGGTCGCAGGTTCGATCTCTGGAGGGCGGGGTCGTGGGTGCGCACTGCTGAGGAGCCCCATACTAGGACGAAACAGCTGCTGTCCAGTGCTCCCAGGTTTCCTTTGTTCCTTCGACTGATGTCAGTCTACGATGAATAACAACTTGAAACATATATTAAATGAGAAATATACTGCGCTGCAGTTCGTTCTCTCCTATTATACGACTATGAAACATTACAATTAAAATATATGAAGCGGTTACAAGGTTTTAACCACAGATATCTTTCCAGTGTTGCTTGCGTTTAGTGGAATCACCGTGTAAGTAATAATGAGGTCAGGCTAAGGGTACTAGGCAATGCAAGCTAGTCGAATGATGAGGTTGTGAACCTTATGCAAAAGAGGAACCGGTGGTTAGACAGCCTTCGTGATATGGCCGAGTGTCGGTCACAACTGCGTAGATGTATTCACTCCTTGACATCTAAAGCTTGAATATTTGGACTAACCATTGTCTTCAAATTGTTTATCTTCACATACAACTTTCTTTACTTTGTTTTTTGCATACTACTGTGAAGTATGACAACTTGAAACGATGCAACACTTGTGTGAGAGGTTCCCCGCTGGTACAGCAAACATATATCATTTTATTGTATCTGCAGGTTTGTGAAGATTTATTGACAGATCTCTGGTTGAAATTCATCATAGATTGACACCAGTTGGAGGAGCATTGGAAGCCTGGGAAGACTGGACATCTGTTTCGTCCAACTAGGATTCCTCAGCAGTGGGCAGCCATGACCCCACCAGTGATGAAGTCCAGGATCTTCACGTTCCGTAGACACTGGGTCGGAATCCAATGGTCTACATCCAATGTTGTCGTAGAGTAACTATGTCCTTATGTTCGAGTCGATTGACTCCATTGATCACAACTTCTCATTAAAACTTCGAGAATCACCTCACGAAGCTAGTCACCAACGAACACTAGATTAATCCTATTTGAAGGTTTGTGGAGATTTATTAACTGATCACTGGTTGAAATTCATCCCTAGGGAGGTCGTGGATGCGCACTTTTGGGGAGTCCCGTACTAGTTGGACGAAACAGCTATCCAGCGCTTTCAGGATTCCAATGTTCCTCTCCAACTGATGTCAGTCCATGATGAATTCAAACCTAATATATCATTAGTTCAAAATCTCCACAAAAAATACAGAATAAAATAGAAAGCTTCTAAACACATACAAGAAATCTTGAACTTTATTCCTTAACAACAGTTTTCTATCCAATTAAATACAAACAGTTATTAAGAAAGATGAAAACTTTAAACATTTCTAATCCATCCATTTGATAAACTTAAATATTTTCTTTCTGATAATTTCCTGCATTAATCTACTTTTTAGATGTGTAGTAGTTCAAACCAATACAGTAATGGTAGAGATGTGGCTCAGCAGTTTAGGGAGATGACTACTGACCACTGGGTTACCGATTCGAGCTCCGTTCCACCTGACGAGGTCTGGGCAACCGGGTAGTGTCACCAACCCCCCCCACACACACACACACACATAACTAGGTGTGACTCATTGCCTACTGCACTGATGTGTAGAAGGTAGCTGAGTGCGTTTCATTTCATCTAGTATTGTGAGGCTCATTATCTTTTAATCTGTTCCCGACAATGTAATTCATGTTGATTAAATATACAGAATCCCTCAAACCAGCAGTCACAAATTCCACTCTAAACTCTCCTTCAACTTAATCCAACTTTCATTAGCATGACGCATCGAGGTAGGCGGTAACTCAACATGCTCAACAGATGCCCAACCCACCTCAGTCGCGTAACGTGCACATTCTCATTGACTGAGGTGTCTATCTTGCTTAGTACCCTTCGCCTGACTTCAACATTGCTAGCACAGTGATTACACCATATGTGACAAATGTTGCGAGGAACATATATGATCAAAAACCACTTATTGTTTTGTGTCTTTTACTTTTAATGAGAACGAATTACAACGCAGTATACTCGTCTTTTGATAGACAGTCAATCCCCATGTCCATTGAAGTAAGTTCATGAATACATTATCCACGGAATCCAGAAGCAATGAAACACTAAAAAGAATAGACAGTAGGATCATGGTACTCTCGATTTTCATAAACTTCATGAATATAAGAAACATGGCTCAGAAAAGGTGATTAGAGAACTCGATACTACTCGTTGGTTTCATAACAGTGGACTCCAATAACTACTAATTTTTTTTAGAAAAGTAGTAAACAAGTTGTAATATGAAAAAGAATGGGACTAGGTGGGAGTTGGTTGACTGAGGCTTTCGTCAACATCAATTATTTGAGCTTCCATCTTAAAAAATACGATTTGGAAGTTAAACGTCTCAGTAAACTATATAATCAGAAACTTCTGTCATCCAAAAGCTCTTCCAGCATGTGGAAACTTTTTAAGGACCTCAGTGGTAGTTAACACCTTAGTAAAGAAGCACATACCAACGTCTGTGCTTTGAATAAATCGTTTATGCGTCAATCCAATTGTCCCATCTCACCTTGTCTACCTATGTCCAATGATAAATGTTGTCCAGAGTTCACCACGAAAGATATTTTCAAATGTCTCAAATCTCTGAAACCTTCACACAATTCAGGTTTGAACAATATATCAAGCTTCGTATTCACGAAGTGTATTGATATTTTATGCTATTCATTAGCTAAAATTGTCAATAAATCGTTTTGAGAAAACACCAAACCAGCTCCCTGGAAGGATATTGAGATAGTCCTACATACTGTTTGACGATGGTCCACCGCGAATGGTCTTATGCTTAATCTTTCAAAATGTCAGAGTATAAACTTTAGTTTTACACGTAGACATAACTCATGTGAAATGATTAATTTTCAAGATTTCGGCTGTATTAATAGTTGCGCATTAGAGAATGTTACAAGTGTGATTTGTCTGTGTGTGTGTTTTCCTTCGGACCTTTCCTAATCTTCCCATATTCCACTAATTTCCAAAAGAATTTTCCACCTAACTTCCTACCATTATCATCATCAATATGAACATAGGACAAGGCATTACTGAGTAACACTCCAAATTGCCTCACTTCATATCACTACATCAAGTAAAAAAGCAGTAAACTGCAAGATTAAGATAAGAAAATTCAGTCAAAAGGAATACATAGTAAGAAAAGAGAGAAAGGAAGAATGAGAAAGTGGTGAGATTCGGTATAGCGTCATTAAGATGAGGATAATTTGTGTGGGGATACATTTGTGCCACTAACATCGGTTCTGAGTCATATCACCCACACTCAGTCTCCAACTAATGGTTCCTCTTGTCCCGTGGGCCCCAACCACCTAGTCTGCATCGTCCTACATGGCTTAAACCAACAGTCAGAGACTGCATACATTCGTACCATGTTTTAGTCTGGCCACCTCGAGCGTTTTCCCAGCCTGCACCCACCTCAGACAACATTGTGTGACTAGGCAATCGATGACTAGGCATACGTAATACGTGTCCCAACCAGCCATCTCAGTCGATGAAGGTTCACAACCTCGTCAACTGATTTACCTCTACTCCCTCCCTAAAACTCTACACCTGACTTCTGAGTTACTCACGTGGTGTGGTGTGGTGTGGTGTGGTGACACCACGGAATACGGCCTATACTACGAAGGTAACCGTGGTCAAACACCTGAAGCCTTCTCAAATGATAAGTAGAAGTATATTAATATCAATCATTGCTCTAAATGTGATTTGTGAATACTTCTTGGATATGATTGGTATCTTAGGGTGATTTGAGTAGCCAGTGATTTGAGGTCGATATTCTTTATCTCTGCCCACCTATTTTATTTCCTACATCCAGTATTAACAGTATGATTGAATGGAACTGATAGTATCTAGGTTTGTTATCTGTATTCGACTATATTCCTTCAGTGGTTACACAAATCTTTCGATTTTACCTATCTATAGCTTTGTAGTGAATGTCTGGTTGAACGCTTTCGTTTGCGAACTGTATGTTGGTTTATTTCTGAGAACATAGAACTGTTAAAAGACCAATGAAGGTTTTATAATTCCTGTCTGCATAGATACCAGTGAGTATTTATACCTTTCATTTATTAATGAATCCAGTCTATTGACACGATGTGCAACACCACCGCAGAACCACGTGTTGAAGGAAAAAACAAGTAGTTCTTTCAAAGGGAAACCAGTATCCAAAACCCCACCATTTTTATTACAATAGGAACGCATGAGCGGCTAGATGTACCAAACTAACATCCAACAAAGTCTCAGAAATGTTCTACAAGACCAAAAACCTAGCATATTACCTAGTGAAAACGATGCTCGATGTAGAATCAAAGTGATTCTGTCAGCTTACACGATAACCCCAGACCAGCACTGTGTAGGTTTTATGGACGTATTTCCGTATTTCCAAAATGTGCCACAAGTGACTTCAACCAAGTCACCACCAAGTTTGGCTGCTTTTTACTGACTTGAAGCATCGTCTTAAAGATACTACAAGTGCAATGCTAAGACTTGAGGAACTTAGGGATTTTCGACCATTCCGAGAACTTCACGCGCACTTAAGAACTTTCAGGAATCTCAGAATACCTAAAACTACCCGACAGAACAAACGACTGGAGCCCCTTTGCCGATCCTTGGTAGATTAATTACTGACAGTGAAGTAAACAAATAAACATACGCTAAATAATTTATGCAAGCACCTATAGAATTTTTAACACAATAACTTACACGGTAAGCACCTTTCTGGGAGCCAGTGATTTTGAATGTATGCAGGGATGAACGACTGGCTAAATCAATCACCTTGTGATGAGGATCGCTAAGTTCCGCATCTACATCATAATTTCCCCCTGATATAACCTAGAAGAGTTGCAAGTCACTGGAAAATATAGACTAACATACATAAAACTGGAAGCTGAAATTACTCCCTTTTGCAACTTCTTCATAAAAACAGTGAGTGGACCTGTCCTCTAATTCAAAAGTCAGTGAGCTGGAATAAACCTGATGGGCACTCAGAAATATGCAAAAAATGAGCAACAACATCTCGATAACGTAGTATGACCTACAACTAAGGACGTGTACAGCCACAAAGCGTGTACAAATTCATTATTTTAAATGGTGCTGATAAAGATTCATGTTTTCAGTCTCGATCTTTTAGTACGCTGAAAACTATGAAAGTTCTTTTTATGTCTCCAGGCTATGAAGCATACTTGCACTGTAGTTATAAGCACTTTTCTAAATCAGTATTCAAAGTTCAATGTCTCCAGAGCACAAAGGTAATGGACTATATTTTAATACTATCCCACCGCGTTTAGAAAATTAAAACAATATATTTCTGACCGCTTCGCTCTACAAGCCACAGCTCATTCAGCAGAATATACGGATTTCTATCAACATCGTCCACTGTAGGAGTGAAGCGAACAACTAGAACCAAGCCTTAAGAAGTAGACGCGAGAGATAGAAAACTATAAGTTTTCTACGCTCGTACTATCAATATTGGATGTTGGATTGTAACATCAAAGTGTGTAGCTAAATGTCACATCAAATATTTAGTTAACATAGGTCACTGGTTGAGTGGTTTTTCTGTCCAACCTGAGCAATTAGGATAGGTCATCACAAGTCCATGCTTGTCACTGTCATCTTTTGGCTGGAGAAGCTGTGGCTCATACAATGAGACTTTCAGGGACATCTTATTTTGACTTTCTGAACACGCCATGATTATATTAAAGTAATTCTTTAAGTGATTCTGTAGTGCACCTTCCTGGCACCAAAATATAACTAAGGCTAAAATAAATAGGTTAAATTAAATTAACTAAATAGACCTCTGGCTTGCCTCCGGGAGCTCAAGGTGTTTTTAAGCTTTGTTTTGAAGGGCATGCATCCCAGCAGGCTTGGACGCCATTTTGCGCTCCATAGTGCTGGTTACCACGCCCGTACTCAGAGTCCCTAGTTCAGCCTTACAAGCCAGATAAGTTGATCAAACTTTTCCTCCACCCAATACCATTACTTTTACTTTAAGTAAATATATTACTTCTTCATATATATCCCCGTATCAGTTCTTTTGATTTGTGTTTTGTTATCAGTACTTACACGTTAGGTAAAGTACTGGTTAAGTAGGTACTAGATCACATCAAGTTATGTAGGGTTGATCAAACGTTACGGAATAGTAACACGCACCCCTGCAATTCAGTCAGACTTGTCGTTCAACTGCTTCCAGGACAATGGTAACAACTATGGTCTGGATGTCTTTTATCATATTGGCATTAACTGATGACGTTACCAGCATGGATCATTCCTCATAATGATATCTTGATATAACCTCGCCTAATTAACTACTTCGCCAGCAACTAGCCGGTCCTGAGCCCAGGTAAAGAGGGAAGGTTGAGCAAAGGGCTAGCAACCCTACCCAAAAACACCAATCCAACATTAATAGTGCGAGTAGAGGGAACTTGCAGTTTTTGAGCTTTCGCTTCTAGGTCTTGAGGCTAGGTTCTTTTTGTTCGGTCGTACTCTTTCGATGGTCACAGAGGTCTTTGCATTTTCCTGCTCATAGCTTTGGAGGTATTGTTTGTCGATTTGAAGGTGGTTTATCTGCAAATTGTGGCTTGGTTTGTTTAAGGAGGTGACGGAGCTGCTGATAAGGCCAATCAACCGTTTGCAATTCCTGTTGTTGTAGGCATCCTCAAGTAGGTGTTAAGCGTTATTTAAATAGTGATAGAAACGGGGTTAGTGAAGAGTGAGAAAAGTACTTTTGAAAAGACACATGTGACCGATAATAATATAGAGGAGAGGTGCGTCTCACTGCAGATGCTGGGGTTGGGGAATGCAGGGATGGAAGGGCGTATCATCGGTTGCTACTAACATATGCTCGTGGCGAGCCATTCGCGTTCTCGTGCTCATCCAGTAGTCGTTTGAAGGAGTTGACTGACGTAGCTGTGGCCACGTCTTTTGGCAGCGCGTTCCATGAGGCACATACTCTATAGGAGAAGTTAGATCTCACTCCAGTCTTTGCCCTGTGGTGGGGTATGCGAGTGGGGTTCCCACGGGATTGTCGGTTTGGGATCGATAATGTTGTCCTATTTAGGTGGTCTACTTGATCAATGATCTTGTAGGTTGTTATCGGATCACACCGTTTTCTTCGGTAGCTAAGCGTGAACAGGGTGAGTTGTCTGAGGCGTTGCGCATATGTTTTGCCTGTTAATCCGCAACCAACTTTGCTACTCTTCTTCGTACCTTCCAGAGAGAATTTGCGTCTCTCTTTTGTAGGGAAGGGGCTACTGTGTTGAACACCTCCAGGTGTGGTCTAACGTAGGTTTTGAATACCATGAGGAATAACTCTGGGGTCAACAATCCAAGTTGCCTTCTTAGAAAGTGCATAATGGCTTTCGCCTTAGCTGCCATCCCCTTATAGATACCAGCAGTATCCAGTATGTCAGAGAAGTTTAGTCCTAGGTCCTTCTCTGTGGATAACTTGGTGATTGCACGCTTGTTAAGAGTGTAGTTGATTTTCATCGCCTCTGGCGTGCGAAGATAGGTCATCTTGCACTTCTCCAAATTAAAGCTTAAACCGTTCGCAGCTGACCAGGGCTCCAGCTGCAGCAGGTCACTTTGGGGTATTCTAGAATCCTCTTAGTTGCCTATCGTCCTCCACATTTTGACGTCGTCGGCGAAGAGGAGGGTAGATGAGGAGATTTTAGTCGGGAGGCTGTCTGTAAACAGTAAAAATAGAAGTGGTCCAAGGGCCGCTCCTTGAGAAACTTCTGTTCTTGCTTTCCTCCAGGTTGATCGAATTCTGTTTACTTTGGTACAGAATTCGCTAGATATGCTCTGGATACCCTAGATATCCTCTAGATATGCTGTAGGCCATGCTAAGAGTGGTTCAGTGATACCCACTTTTACTAGTTTGGCGAGAACAATATAGTGTGGGACGCTAGCAAAAGCTTTGGCCAAGTCCAAGAAGACAACGTGAACTCGTTGTTTGTTGTCCCATCTGGTAGCCCAGTCATCCCAAGTGGTCACCAAGTTTGTGGCACATGGCCGCCCGGTTCTGAATCCATGCTGGGTGGGATGGACAATGCTGTTTCTGTTCAGGTAGTCCCAAACAGCATCTGGAACCAGGCTTTCCAGTACCTTGGGAAGTATGGGGAGTAATGCTATTGGCCTGCAGTTACATGGGTTCCTTCGGTCCCCTCCTTTGACGATTGGAGAGAGGATTGCGCGTCTCCGTTCTTTGGGGAGTTGACTTACTTCCAGCGATTGCCTGAACAGGTTGCATTATGAGTATGCCTAGCACTTCAGCACAGTTGTGTAGGACAACCGGTTTTATGTCGTCACAGCCTGCGGATTTCCCTATTCTTAGTGTTGAAAGTCTCGCAGACACTTGGCCTGACGAATTCTTCACGTTTGAGAGGTGTGCGTATGGTTAATTTTGGAACAGTCTTATCGACAGCGCTCCAGATAATATCTTTAATCTGTATCCAGCGTTCGTCTATCGATAATGAGTCCCATTCTTACGGCCATGCAGCCACCAGGAATTCGCTGTTCATGAGGTGGTAGTCTGCTTTCCGGCAACAGCGGAACGCTTCTGGCTCAGCTATTGGTAGTGTCTCTTTGGTTATCAGAGAGAATCTCACCAGTCAGCGATCGCCTTTGCCTGAGGGGGGTTGAACACGGATATCGTCCACCAAAAGATCGTCGTCTGTTAGAACGTGGTCCAGTGGTGATCCTTTCCTGTCTGGTCCCCATCTGGTGTTTTCCCCAACTTTCTTCATTAGTCCTGCTGCCATGAACGTATTTCGAGCTTTGTTTTCGAAAGATTTATGCCCACATCTTGCTTCACACCCCGGGCAAGATGTCCGTGTATTGAAGTCTCCAGCGAGGACTACATGGTCATAGGCTGCCAAGGCGGTTGTTGCGATGGCACTGAGCAGTTGTGTCTTATACTCTGTCGTGCAAGGGGGAGGCTTATATACTGCTCCTACCAGGTATTTGGTTTGGCTTATGGTGAAATAGCGCCATAAGGAGTCTGACAGTAAGCTGAATACACCATCAGCCACCTCCTTGACTTTTAGATGAGTGCTAGTATATATGACAACTCCGCCTTCTTTGAACTGCCTGTCGTTTCGGAGCAGGGTCACGTTGGGTAAACATATTTCCCTATCCACTTTGATTTCTGACAGCCATGTGTCCGTGAGGAGAATTACGTCCGCTTGCAGATTATGGAACATTGCTTTCAGCTCCAGTAGTTTACTCCTGAGACATCTCACATTGCCGTAGAGTATGTTGGATAGCTACGTTCTGGGCTTAGTGTGATATTGGGACCTGTTTGGAGGCTAGTATGCCGTTGCGCCGGATTCCGCCTGTCAGTACCTACTGGACCGGCAGGTCTCCGTTTTTTGGCCCCTCTTGACATCCTGCTGCTACTGTGGCAGTATTGTTTATTGTGCCTACAGGTAGCTGACTGGCTAATTCTCTTCTGACTAGTACTGCTTGTAGCGTTCTTGAAGGTTACCTCCTATCTTTTAGTCTGGTAGCTCTTGGTTTACCCCCACAGCATCGTATAGCACCTCCTATATAGTCTTTCACATGGTACCATGCCTTGAGAGCTCCTGTTAGTGATGCTTTGCAGTCAAAGCGTACAGCTAGCAATCTTGATGAGGAGATGCTCTGCAAGTGCATAGTTCTTGGTAACCCTACTTACGCTGCTGGCAGGTAAATTTCCAAGTCCCATTTTTGCTGCTAACCACCTTCATCTTTGGGCATCATGAAGGTAATTATCAAGCTTCTTGGAACCACCCGCCAGTTCGGGTACTCCGTGCACCATCATGGTTGTAGCTACAGAACTGCCACAGAAACTTCAAAGCACAGAGAAAATATAAAAACGAACTTACTCCTCGCTGGAGTCGGGGAGACAAAATGACGCCCGTCGGTGAAAGCCTACGGGAAACCAGTCGAACGATGTGTCCTCTCTTCGTTCAATGAAAGAAAAAGTAAACACAGGGACGGGAAATGTCTGCACCACGCACGAACCTAGCAAGGCTGCCTAGATGGCAAAAGAGATGAGAAGGTATGGCATTAAAGTACTAGGAATCTGCGAAACCAGATGGAATGGAAGTGGACCCTGCAAACTGTCAACTGGAAAATCAGTAATCTACTCCGATATAATCACTCAGACGACAAACACGAGCATACTCAAGTAGCGGGTATCATGAAGTCCCGAAGATCACTGAAGGCTCCCAAGCAATGGGAACCAGTCTCCTCCAGGATCAAGACGACAAGGTTCAACCCAAAAGGAAGGAAAGTCACAGTCATCGGATGCTACGCTACGCATGTACA